AATGTGGGGAGGGGGGGATGGTTTTCTATTGCTTTTAAAAAAAAAAAAAAAGATAGAGCTTTTGTTCATGCAATCATAAGGTGCTTTGTATTTTTATAGTCTTTGCTGCTCCTAGCTTACCTCATAAGGAATGGATCAGAGCGTGTTGTTACAAGTGCCAGAGAACACATTTATGATTTGCGATCCCTGGAAAATTACCACTTTGTAGGTGAGCAATAGAAAAATCTTATAAGCAAATTAAAACAGTAGTTGGAGTTGTCAGTCACCTCAACCAGCTTAGATGCTTCCCCAGTCTAATCCAAAACACAGCACTGTACCAGCTACTAGGAAGAAAATTAACTCTATCCCAGCCGGAACCAGGACAGGGAGAAATGCAGGCAGTGGAGATGCAGTTTAATATATGCATCCATCAGAGAGGCAAGGTCAAAAAAAAAAAAAGGTCTTGTGCTGCGAGCAGGAGGCAGAGGTCTGGAGCTGCAGCGTTGAACTCCTCGGAAGAAAAAGGTCAGGCGGTTGCAGACAGTATTTGTCTGGTTCAGCGGTGACGTTACCGGTGGCTGTCTACGTGCCACGGTCCTTCACCGCTGCCCAGAGAGTGACAGCACGATGGCACGCGGAGAAATGCAGCACTGGCGAAGGACGTGGGAAGCGCTGATCGACCTTGCGCTTGGCAGAGGGGGAGAGGGAAGCCTGAGCCGTGCTCGAGGGTTGGGAAATCCCAGGGCACAGCAGGCTGGATAAATCCCAACGACTGAAATCGGTGAATTTAACCATGGCTTAGATGGCTTTCCGACACACAGATCCGTTTTAAAACTAAATCTCTTTTGAAAATACATTTCAAGCTGGTGTTGCTTTTGTACTTTACAGTTATATTCTGAAACAGAGGGCTTTTTCGCATTGTTGGGTGACACTGTAGGCTTGGTTTGAGTAAATATCACTTTGCTGTTGAAATTGGTGTTAGCTTTAGTTATAAGGTTAACTGTGGTTATAACTAGAGGATCGCCGTATGCGTTTGAAGCAGGTGTATCGTTTTAATAGGTGCCTATTCAATTTTAATACTACTTTTTGTTTTTAAAAAGGTGAGATGACATTTGAATGGCTGCGATTTTTGGCAAATTGTGTTTGGGTGGAAATGAAATTCAACTAAAATGTTTTTCTTGCACACTCAACCACATTCTGCACTGCCTAGATGGGAACGCTCATCCAAACGCGTCTTGTAGTTGAGAGAGATATTAAACCAAAGTGAGTATTGCAGCTGGACTGACTTCCTTCCAGGCACCACAACGTCTTTCAAAATTTTAGAGATATGAGGCCTTGTTCTTTCACCTTGTTTCGAGCCAGAGTAATATTGAAAGCAAAAATGGAGCTTTCCTGTGTTTTGGGATGTTTGAGATGCCCAGGAAGGGGTTTCCCTGCGGAAGCTGGGTACTCCAGGCTGGCTCCTGGTCGGTGACTGCCAGCACTGCAGTCCTCTGCCCTTTAGTTGAGAACATTTTTGGGGGGGGGGGGGAATTAAAGAAGAAATGCATCTCGCATGAAAGAAAATAGCCTGGAGTTTTTAATCAGCCCTTTGCCCTTGACCAAGAAACAAACCTCTCTTGTGCTGCAGGCTTCATCCGTGGGCATGTATCTGTTGCTTTAGCGGTGGTGTCAGTCCCCCAGCTCCGAAACGACGCTGGTAACGCTTAGCCCTTGCTCTGCACGTGGCGGTGAGGAGCTGGGGAAGTAACAAGGACAGGGCAGGTCCTGCCGCCGAGCTACCAGAGTCCTCCCGCAGCTTCTGCCGGGTCTGTGCGGGACGTCCCAGGCTGGCGGGCGTTGTGTGCAATGCACGAGAGGTATGGCGTTAAGGTATGTAAATAACGAGACCCATTTCGTTAGCTTCACCGGTGTTTATTCCTCGTCGGGCTGGGCCGGGAGCAGCTACCGCAGGCACGGCTGGCGGAGCGGCTTCGTCCGTGGGGTAGGAAGGGGCCGGGAAGTGCCGGAGCGTGCGGAGCTTGCCGAGCAGGTCTGGCGTTTCTGAGCCTCGGGGCTGGAACGCGGACAGGCTGAGCAGCGAGTTAGTCATCGCGGTCAACCAGGTTGCGGCTGGTCGTACGTAAACCTTTCCCCAGCGAGAAGTCCCAAACAAAGAGCTTCAGCACCCAAGTCTCCTTTCTTCACCTCTCTTAATCCTGTGCCTCTTGTGCTTCTCTGACGAGCAGCGCCTTGGTCGCTCGCTTACAGGGAGAGACGAACAGAAGCAAAGGTGTTCGTGTGCACGTGTGCTCGGCTTGGCGGGTGGCCGTGCGGAGTAAGGAAATGAAAACCCCACAGCCGTGGACGCGGTGAGGTTTTGTCAGCTTTCAGGGGTGCGCAGGTTCTTGAGTCGCTTCCTTCCTCTTATGGACTTTTCTCATTAAACTCGGTGTTATTTATAAGTATTTTTAAACCTCTTGTGTTGGAGAGGCCAGGCCAGAGTCTGCACTCACAAGAGGCTGTGTAAAGTCAGGGTGGGGAACCCTGCACTGCAAATGTTTGTTGCTCAGACAGGGCTGGGGCTTGTGGCCTTGAGCTCAGTCCCCTCTTTGACCACAGGCTCCTTTGCGAGCCTTAGCGGTCTCGACTCCTTTTGCCAGAGATGCCTCGTCCTACTGCGTGCACACAGGCAACCGGGTGATGGTTTTGCACGTTGAGGGAGCACGGGCTGTGCCCATACTGTGGTCCAGCACTTGCTGCTGTAGCACTGATAGAGCCGTTGTCTTAACTTCCATGCTTGTCCTTACCAGCTCGCTGCTATAAAATATCCATCCTCTTGCTTTCGTTACCTTATTCTTTCCTGCTTCTTCCCCCTCTCTCCTGGAACATCATCTTAGCCCTCGTCTGCCAAGCAAGCTCTCTTATTCCTGCCTCTTTCTCCACCGCGGTCTGGCTCCTGCTCGGCTGTCTCAGGAGCTCGTCGTCTTCTGCTCGATGCTGGCACAGGAGGGCAGGAGGTAGAGGTAAAGCACGAGATAAATTAGTGACTGAGTTAGCAGGGAAGGGAACAGAGCAGCAGAGTATTTGCTGGTGTTTGTAGCACAGCTCTCTGAAGTCTTGGAGCCTTTGAGATGTTTTAGATGTGGTTTTGGGTTAGTAGAAGAGATTGATATTGGGCTTTACCCATCTTGAGCTAACAAGTCACCGTACAAGTATATATGTGAGGCTTTTTTTCCATTGAGCTGTAATAGTCCATACCGTTTCACTTGCTGCTTTTGCTCTGGGCATCGGGAACTCTGCAAAATCCAGGACAACGGGGTTTGTGCAGGGTAATCCAGGCACAGTGGACAGCATGGGCGGGGGTTCAGGCACACCTAAGCTGACCAGGACAGAGGCAAGGCTCTCCGAAAGTGGCCCTGCCGTTGCCAGGCTGGAGCAAGTCGTGGAAGCTGTTGGACTGGATGTTTGCAGCACAATTTTAAATTGGGAAGCTCGGGCAGAGGAGACTTGCCCCTGCAGCCGAGGCACGCAGCGCTGTGAGCTGACCACACGCTAAATGTTTGTGAGTCCCAGTCGTCGTGCAGGCAGGCACGCACAGCGAGCAGCTGGGTGGTCAAGCTGGTTTTAAAAAAAAAAATTAAAAAATCTTGTAACAGCATTTGTGGCAGTTGAGTATGCTTTTGTTTAAAAAGAAAAAAATAAAAATCCCACCGCTTGCTTATGCATCTCTCATAGCACCCGATTCCTCTCTTGTTGTTTTTTCTCTCTCTTTTTTTTTGTTTTTTTTTTTTTAATGTGTCAGGAATTTTGCTTTCTAAATTCCCAGCAAGTCGTATTTACTGGGTGTGAGAGCTCTGGGCCTAGAGGGAGAGGCAAGGTACTCTGGGGAACCACGAAAACCCTGAATGCAAGCAACGTTTTTGTTAATAAACTGCCTAGACATGAAAGGGTGATGAAGCTTTTTGTAGAGAAGTGCAGAGGAGAAGAGGAGGGCTTCTTGGATGACCTGGAGAGTAGAGGACCTGCTGTGCCAGCTTGTTTGTCCCAGCAAAACAAAGCTCAAAAGGGAAAAATACTGCTTAAGTGAGGGGAAAAGGGCAGTTCTGCACAAGCTCAGATGGGCATAGACTGGTATGAGTCAGGTTAGCCTGGAAAATGGGGGGGGGGGAAGCTCTGACCCAACAGAGAGAAGTGATCAGAGCAAAGAATCACTTTGCTGATTCTTGCAAATTTATCCTTTTGCAATAAAGGATTGCAAAAATCCTTTATTTTTGCAATAAATAAAGCAAATTTTATCCTGAAGAGGATAAAATATTGTGTAGCGTCTGCAGGAGTGAGAATTGGAATCCGATGCGAGAAGCCCCTTCCAAGCCTCGCTCTATAGCTCGGGAAGGTTCTTCGGAGGATATAAATGTGAGCAGGTATAGCAAAGCTGGTGAAAGTGAACCTGCAGAGATTTAAAGACGATGAGCCCATATGAGCCTCTAGGTTGTAGTGAAGGTTGACTGGCTCTGAGCGGAAGCTGAAGGTACGTGATGGCTGGCCGAGAAGAAGGGGATTTAACCTGTAAGCCGGTCATCGGTTCAGAGGAAGAGCTAAGGAAGAGGAAACGGGCGGCCGCGTCATCCAGCTTTAATTGCAGTCCAGGACTGGGGTTGAGCCTTCCCGGCTGTGCTCGGGGTGTCGCGGGATCGGACGGGTGATGTGGGATCGGTGATTGCCAGCTGTTAGGGGCAGGGTGTTATCTGAAGCAGGGCCACGGGTGAGCGTTTTCCGCCCCGAGCAGCTGGGGGAAGCAGATCTGGGTTTGAAACCTGCGCGTGCGGTTGAATACCGAGTTGATCTGTGTAAACACGTGGTTCTGTGGACCTGGCCGTTCTCTGTTGGCAATCTGGAGACGACCCGCTCTTGGGCTGTAATACTGTTTTATCTTTGCCCGCTTGACCACTCGTGGTGGCTTATGAGGCTGGAAAACTGGATTCAAAAGTTTGCGTTTAAGAGACAGGCTGCTGTCCTGTCTGCAAATGGAAATTGTCCAACTTTCAGCCCTCTGTTACTGCTGGGCTGGCAGAGCTGTGCTACAGTGAATCATCTGGACCGTGCGGCTGGTGGTGGATGGAGCTGACCTTCCCTCCTTCCCCTTTTCTCTCCTTTTAGGTAGGGGACCATAAATTCAGTGCTCACCGGATCGTGCTGGCAGCTTCTATCCCGTACTTCCATGCCATGTTCACCAACGACATGATGGAGTGCAAGCAGGATGAGATTGTCATGCAGGGGATGGATCCCAGGTAACATCCCAAGGCACGCGAGCGAGGATACCCAGAGGGGACCGCGAGCGCTCTGCGGGCCTCGGCGTTGTGCGTGCAAGGCTCGAAAGCCTACCCTCTGTGTGCGTGGCACTAGAAAAGGTTTTTCTGTTAGTCGTGTCCCCTGCTAGGTTAATTGTTAATAAATTCTGCCCTTTCTCCCCCTTGTTTAGTGCACTTGAGGCTCTGATCAACTTTGCCTACAACGGCCACCTGGCAATAGATCAGCAGAATGTCCAGTCTCTGCTGATGGGGGCGAGTTTCCTTCAGCTGCAGAACATCAAAGATGCTTGCTGCACTTTCCTCAGAGAGAGGTAAGGGGGTGTCTTTCGGCTGTGCTTACTGCTCACCAACAGCAGCAAGGTTTTAGTCACCTGCGTCCCCGCTTGGGAATAAGTGGGATGTCTCCGGCCCGTGTGATAAGGAGGTCTGCGTCTCCCGGGACTCGCCATTCTCATTGCCTGTGAAATAACTTATCTGGCTTATAAGATGCTACAGCTGGGGCACGATATAAGGCCTTGGCCAGCCATGGGAATTAATACCTAGAGCAAAACTGAGTGAACGTTTCCCTTTTTAAGAGTTAGCTAGCTGGTTACCCATCACAGCGGTGCGTGACTGCCGCTAACGAACCCACCCTCGCAGTAATTATCCTTCCTGCTGTTGCGTGTGTGAGAGGGGAGGAACAAAGGGACTCGGCCAAGGAGCTGGACGGGAAGCTGTGGCAGAGCCTTAAATTGGTCCCAGGTTTTTCAATTCCCTCGCTGGTGTTCGGCTGCAAGATTGTTCCAGCAGCATCAGCTGGAAACGGAAAAGCTGGGCTGTTCTTTGGAAACGTACCGCACACATCTTCAGATCCTGCCAGGGAGCCTTACGTGTCTAATTCCCCCTCCCTTCCCCAGCTTGATTTCTCTGCAGCTGTTCACTGTATTCCGTGGCGTGATATTAAACATACCTACCAAATACGTGGAACATCTCAGCCAGTTATTTTTCTTTACTTCTAAATAGAGGTATCCTAAAACCATGGGTCGGGGAGAAAAAAATGTTTTTCCTGTGTGTTTAGGATGTCTCAGTTTTCAGTCCCCTGTGCATCCTGCCTTTCTGCAGTTCGTTTAAAATTAAGTTACGTAAGATTACAGAGTATTCATTCTTCTTGCAAAAACATTTTATTTGAGGTACTGGATATGACACCGAGCTGGAAAGAAATGGATTGCATTGATTTTTGAGTCCCTGCTAGCTTTAGGTGGTTGTATCTGTATCTAGATTAAGCGAGGTGACTTGGTTTCTCAGATTTAGCTGCTACAGTTCTCCCAAATCTACCAGGAGCAACTGGGTGTCCTAAATGAAGTCCTGTCACTTTTGATTAATAACAAGAAAATCGGTGGACTCTGACCATCCTCAAGAGCTGGAGCACGCACGCTGAGCTCTCATTCTTAAATGGAATTAAGATCTGGGATACTTTTAGGCCCCCGTGCACAGACAGGTCCGCAGTGCTGTAACCAAGCCCTGTGTGAGCCCTGAGAGCCATCCCCGCGTGAGGGTCCCCTGCCGTCAGCGCTGTGTGTTTGCTCTTAGCGCAGTACAGGGCAGTAAGCGAGGGTGCCTTCCCCAAAGTGGACGCAAGCGACGTCGCATCCTCGCGTGCGTCCGGACACCGCTGTCGACAGCTGAGCCCGGCTTTTGCAGACCGTTAGACACCGAAACCATCAGAGCCCAAGGTATTTTCGACGTACAGGTAGTATTTAGTTTAGTATCTGATGATTAGTGCTGCAAAACAACGCAGCTCTTGGCTCTTGTTGAACTGGGCAGGGCTTCTTGTTTGGACGGGAGTGTCCAGGACACATACCTGTTTCTGTAGAGCACATGACTGCAATGAATGTCGTCTTCTCCAGCTTCTTCATGCCACTGAGCAGCTTTATGCAGTGGCTGTTTGGCTGTGCTGGAGAGAGGCTTAGATCTGCAGCAGTACTTCTCACTGTCTAAGCTCCAGTTGAAAAAGCATCTTTGCTGATAAAGCTTCCTTAATCTCAGGAAATGGCTTTATGAAGCTGTAACAGATGCTGTTCTGTAGTACTTAGAAAAGATGTAAGATGAAAAACAGAGGCCGATGACTGGTACTTGCGCAGTGTGCTTGAATCCAGCTTTGCCCAATACTGGAGTTAAAAAACAAAAAAAAACCCAAAACCAAAAACAAAAGAAGGTGCTAGATGCACAGCCCAGGCCCCCCGAGATGTGGGAGGGAGGGATTGCTGTGCAGAGCCTCACGCTTCCCCTCAACTGACAACCTGCAGCCTTCACGCAGAGCCAGCTGAGTCTGTCCAGTGGCTCTTTGGCAGGTCTCGGGAGAGGTTTTCAAGTTGTGGTTTCCATCCTCTGGCTCTGCTGTGGATTCACCTTCAGATCTCTGTGTAGATGCGTTCATCAGTGGGCTGGAACCTGCCATCGTTGAAGAGGACACAGCTGTGGCTCTCACTGCATCACATATCCTCTGAGGCTTGCATTGCTTCACTGAACCTGTTTGTAATTCTTTCTATCCTTCCATTAAACCGACGTTGCTTTCGCTCTCCTTTTCCCCCTTTCCCAGGCTTCACCCCAAGAACTGTCTGGGAGTGCGGCAGTTCGCAGAGACGATGATGTGCGCGGTGCTCTACGACGCTGCCAACAGCTTCATTCACCAGCACTTCGTGGAGGTATCCATGTCCGAAGAGTTCCTGGCACTGCCTTTTGAAGATGTCCTGGAGCTCGTTTCTAGGGATGAGCTGAACGTGAAGTCTGAAGAGCAGGTGCGTACCTGGTGTAGGTCTCAGCAGAGGTAGTTTTTCCTTTGGAGGGTTTTTGGTTGCTTGGGAGTGGAAAGGGATACGACCCTATTCCTGGTCTGAATGAAGCCGAGATGTCCTGGCACAGTGGGGACACTAAGAGGTGCTAGACAGAGCTATGATGACTCCCTGAGCCCCGCTTCTTCTCTGTGCTGCCGATGTTACCTTGCTTTGAGAAATGCCTGGTAGAGTTTCTCAGACCACAGATTTTGCAAAACGTTGTTTTGAGGTGTTTCGATTCATCCGTGACAGAGACCTGGTGGGTCCTGAGGACCTTCAGCTGTGCCCCTTACTGTCGATAAGTTGCTGGTCCTGGGGAAGAGAGGCTGAGGGTGTGGGCAGTAGCAGGGAGCCCTTCCTCACAGAGCTCACGTTCAAGTCCAGAGGAGTGCTTTTGAGGTGTAAAGAATTTGCTGCGGCATTTTTATAACGAACGTTCCACTGAATTTGCCCTCAAGAGGCTCCTCTAGACTGTCTTGTTCCTAGAAAAAAACAGAAAGCAGGGCTGAGCAACTCTAGGACATTTCAACAGCCTTGAGAATCCATCGGTGCTGGGCTGACAGTCTGCAGGAGAAACAGAACTTGTCCTCGAGCCAGGAAATCTGTCCTGCTCTTTCTGAGGAGGTTACTAAGGAGGTGACAAACGAAAAGCAGACCTACAGCTGTCTCCATGTAGGGTAAGGGAGTGCTTCGTTAATCAGGCTGTCTGAAATGGCCCTGAAATGGGAAAGGAGGGGAACCTGCTTCACATTCCAGCCACGTTGCTGTATCATACCGCAAGTTTGTCTCTTGCTGGTTTTTTTTCCACGTGGATCCTTTGTGGAGCAGGTAGAAGTCCAACGAGTCTGTCCCCGGTGATGTTTCCTCGTGCCCTGACAGCTCCCAGCCCCCTCTTCAGAAATGGCAGTATTTTAGTGCGGCATAGCCTATCTGCCGGTCATAAAGCGCCTTGTGGAGTGGAAGTTGTTTGTTTGTTTGTTTGTTTGTTTTTAAGCTCACCATGGTGCTGTTGAAGAAGTACTTTTTGCACTGAAAGCCTCAAGAGGCAATGTGAGAGACTCCAGATCTCCACCGTAAAATAAGGACTTAATAATTTTGGTCTGGTCAGTGGTACTGCTGGCCTTTTCTCTACAGCCACAGGAGGGCGGCTGGTCTGCGAGGTGGTGGCCATGACCACAGCGACCAGTTCTCCTGCAGCTCCTGGGAGACTGCTGCGGGTTTGTGATCTCCCTGAGCTGAACGTGTGAGCAGAGACGAGGCTGCAGTGTGTGACGTTGGCTTTGGAGTGCGACCCCTGGTCAGTGCGACTGCTGGGGACGCTGTGCTCAGTGGGAGCTCTGCCTTGGGTGACAGTGATGGGACTTGAATGCAGCCATCTGGATGTGAGCGCAAGAGTGTAGGACAACCCAGCTCAGGCTTTAACTGTGAGAGTCCTGTGAACCAAGGAGTATGTCTCTCCAATTAAACTCGTCACCAGGCTCCCGTTGTAATCTGGAGTCATCCAAAACAGGGCAGGTGAACTGTGCTTTGAAGAGGTCTGCCTCTCCGGTGTCCGCAAAGGGAGCCTAGAGAGGCCAGCTCAGCTCTAGACGTCTATTGTGTAGTTATCCAAAGTTAACAGATGGATCCCTCTCATCAAAACTGTCTTCTGGTTTTCATAGAGCACCACCGTTCTCTCTTCTTCTCCCCCGGTTTGCTGATTTTTGACACTACATAAACAAGGTTTTGCATTCTGTCCCACCTCCTCCAACAAAACTCTCTTCCCGGCTCCCTCATCTCCCTGCAAATGTTCGTACTAAACATACCGTCCCACGGGACAATAGATCAGTATTATTGCAGACTAACTCGGAGGCGGAGAAAGCAATGCCAAAGCTAAGCCACCCGAGCATCACGCGGCAGGAGAGCCCTCTGGTGCAATGCAGAGCATCGCTGTTCCGCCCTGAAACTGTGTCATCTGAGATCAGGGGAAGATCGTTGTCAATATGTGGTTTCTTTTCCATCGGACAACAGGCAGCAGTAGGAACTTGCAAAAAAAAAAAACCCCAAAAACAACCACCCCAAAACTCCAGCTTCCTGTGCCTCTCTTCCGTAGGTGTTTGAAGCTGCGTTAGCCTGGATACGGTACGACCGAGACCAGAGAGAGTCGTTCCTGCCTGAGCTCCTGTCCAAAATCCGCCTACCCCTTTGTCGACCTCAGTTTCTCACTGACCGTGTGCAACAAGATGACCTGGTCCGTTGCTGCCACAAATGCAGGTGAGGCTTGGACGTGGGGTCAGAAAACCACCCAGGGGATGGTGGCCCTCAGTGGGGTGGAGGTAGCAGGAATGTGGTTTAGCAGTCTTGGAGACTGAAATTCTCTCTTTCTGTGGACAGAGCACCTCACGCAGCAAAAGAAACAAAGCACCCTCCCCAATTTTAACCTGGCAGCAGGGCCACGTTGTCTTCTAGAAGCATTGGCCATGGCGGGGGGGGGGAAGTCAGTTGCTTGAATCCTGATCTGACTTAAGACAGTCAGATTTCATCATATCAGCCAAGCTCTTTAACTTTTTGGCTTTGATTTCAGGGATCTAGTTGATGAGGCAAAAGATTATCACCTCATGCCAGAGCGCCGGCCACACCTCCCAGCGTTCAAGACCCGTCCTCGGTGCTGTACATCAATTGCAGGATTGATTTATGCTGTTGGAGGACTTAACTCAGCAGGTACCTTGCATATCCACTCCCTGCAGTGGAGAGAGCAGCGTAGTTTGCTGGGTAGGACGGTGGGATCTTGAACTTCCCTCACGTGAAGCGTTGAGCAGTTTCTCCTCCTCTGTGCGGCACTTTGACCCTTCCACTGAAATGCTCAAGGTGGCTGTGCCCATAGTTTAACATCTTCCAGCTAGAAACTCTGTCTAGGTCAGGTTTATTTGGGACAGCTATTCTTGCGTATCTTAAAGAATCAGCATTTTGAGGATGGTGTCCTTGCCTGTGGCAACAAGCAGAACTCGGAGGTATCGGGCTGATGTTGGCGGGGTTGTGGGATCACACATGCAGACACGGTGTGCTTGCATGAGCCTAGCCATAGCGTAAAAAAGGGGACAGAAAGCGTTCGTGAAACTATCTGCCGGAGCCTCAACCGACCTGGTTAACCTGGGGTGTGGGGGCTGAATGGCAGGTGCGTGCCGGGCGCTGCCCGGTGGGATTCGTGCCCCAGTCACACCACGACACGGCTGATTTATCCTATAGGGAAGCTGCGTTCCCAGGAAGGGGCGACGCCAACGGACGTGACATTGCAGGTCTCTGCTGCCCCTTTGAGGTCATAGGAGGCCCCGCTTCCACAGCCTGGGACTTGTCAAGTCTTACGGTACAGGGCAAGCTTGGAAACTCTCCACAATCTCTCTGCGTTGTGGAGTGCAGCTTACGTGAATTTTTCAGAGCAGGCTCTCTTTGCGGGGCTGAGTAGGGATGTGGCTGGGAAATGCCTCTGACTTGACTTTGACGTGGAAGCAGGGAGGCTGGAATAGGACGTGTGAGAGCCCAGACTAGGATGTGTGAGATCCTAGCCTTTTTCCCAGAGAAGAGCAGGCAAGGTCCCTGTGTCGGCCCCATCTTTGGGGTCAGAGCGGCGACCGCTTATCCCTCACGTGCCTCTGCTTCAGGCAAGCTTGCTAGAACGGTCAGGTCTCCCTCTTTTAATTTGAGTAGCAAATTTTTATGCAGGTGACTCGCTGAATGTGGTGGAAGTCTTTGATCCCATTGCCAACCGCTGGGAGAAGTGCCAGCCGATGACGACAGCCCGGAGCCGAGTTGGGGTAGCGGTGGTGAACGGACTGCTCTATGCCATTGGCGGCTACGACGGTCAGCTAAGGCTGAGCACTGTGGAGGTTTACAACCCAGAGATGGATTCCTGGTCCAAAGTGGAAAGTATGAACAGCAAGCGAAGGTATTTGCAGCTCGCTCAGTGGGAAGGGGACCTTTGGAGCAAGAGGGGAGGGGAAAAAAATGAGGTTGTAGGAAGGCTGGAGGTGTTGGGTGGTGGTGGACGGCAGACGAGAATTTCACGTGTGGGGAAGCAGCGAAAGAAAAAGGAGGAGTGGAGCAGTATGGAAGCAGGTGGGATTTGCTTGGCCACATTTGGGGCGGGCAGGTCATGCTGAGTCTGGGCACTGCTTGCTGGTAAGAGGGGACAACTGTCAGCAGCTCAACAAAGTTATACCTGTGCATCACAGCATTAATTTTACAAGGAAAGCCGTTAAGGCCTCAGTAAGTAAAAAGCAGCTGAGCAGCGTGGGCTGTAAGCTAGAGAGATCTCTCCGTTTTGGTGGCACCAAGGAGTGACATCAAAGTAAAAGAGAGTGAGGTTCTGCTGGTGAGGTCTGTGAGGGTTTGAACTGGAGTCCCAGAGGAGGTGGTCAGAGCCCCATTTCTTCATATTGTGATACTAGACGGTAGGTAAAGCACTGGGGGGCACCGCGTAGGGAACTCCTGTGCTGCCAGGAGTCAAATAAACCCATTTTACCATCTCTGTCCGGTGCTGGCATCTTCTTTCCCTACCAGAAAGCGTAAGAGAATCATAGCTGGGAAGGAGGGGAGTATTTTTATCGTGCAGGGAGAGGAGTTCACAGCTAAACAGAAGGTGTTTGTGTTTGACGAGCAGAGCTGCGCAGTTCACGACCGGCCTGGAGGTCGCTTTGTGGTTGGGTTTGGGAGCTTACCCTGTGTTATTTTTGAAAACCCACCTATTAAGTTGTGTGGTCGTCCTGCCCTCCCCACCACAAGACGGTAGCTGCTTCCACGTTTAAACATCTTCCTGGCATCCAGGGTTGCGGCTGCGGTTTTCTTTGCCCTCATGCCTGGTCGCTGAGAGTTGTTAAACTGTTCGCTTTTCTGCAAGCTTTGCAGCGCTTCTTTGCCACGGTGGTTTGTCTGGTTTGGGTTTTTTTGTCGTCCAAGACGTTGATCGCTTGGGAAGAGCACGCTGCAAGCAGCCGAGTACATGAAATCCTGGGCACAAGGTTCCGATTTGTAGTGGAAAAGCTCATTTTTTTTCCATAGCAGTGAGGTTCCTGGGAGCTTTTCCCACCGTGAGAGGCAGTTGCTCTTCCACGATTGGGTCGTTCTGCCTTGAAGCCAAGCAGAACAGGCGTTGGATGCTCTTGTGTGGAGGAAACCGTCAGTTATTGTACAAACTGCTCGGCTCCGGCTGTAGCGCTGGGGTTTTATAGAATCATAGAATCATTGAGGTTGGAAAAGACCTCTAAGATCATCGAGTCCAACCGTCGACCCAACACCACCACCCACTAAACCATGTCCCTCAGCGCCTCATCTACACGTCTTTTAAATACCTCCAGGGATGGGGACTCCACCACTTCCCTGGGCAGCCTGTTCCAATGTTTCACCACTCTTTCAGGAAAGACATTTTTCCTCACGTCCAATCTAAACCTCCCCTGGCACAACTGGAGGCCGTTTCCTCTCGTCCTGTCGCTTGTTCCTTGGGAGAAGAGACCGACCCCCACCTCGCTACAACCTCCTTTCAGGTGGTTGTAGAGAGCGATGAGGTCTCCCCTCAGCCTCCTCTTCTCCAGGCTAAACAACCCCAGTTCCCTCAGCCGCTCCTCATCAGACTTGTTCTCCAGACCCCTCACCAGCCTCGTTGCCCTTCTCTGGACACGCTCCAGCACCTCGACGTCCTTCTTGTAGTGAGGGGCCCAAAACTGAAGGATTATCACTGAGGATTGTGTGGCTGAGCTTTTATGAGAAGCTTTGACTACGTTTTCAAGGTGGGATTCTGGTCTCTTGTCCGAAGCGTCCCATTCGATAGCCTTTGTCAGCCAAATAGGTGCTTTACAAGGTGTAGTGACAGGGTCAGGCACCTTGGTTTAACGAGCTCTACGTTTGACAGCGACTAGTGCATCTCCTGAGACTGCAGTGATGTCCCTCGCCAGAGTTCTCTCCGACCGGCAGCAGTGGGGAGGCCCTTCATGGGAAGCCGGAATTGCTGGGATTTTGACCCATGATCTGGGTCAAAATTTCTCCCTGTGTTTTGGTGTAGTTCCTTTGATGAGGAAAACAGGGTGCGCTCACACCGCGAGCGTCTTTCGTGACCTGTGAGACCCAGCGCTCGGATGGGATTGAGCGCTTGGGCGGCCTGGAGGTGAAGCAAGGGGAAGAGGAGGAGGTGTGGTGTGGTGGAGGAGGTGATGGCAGGCAGCAGGCGAGGCAGGCTGTGCAGATTTAGCTGCGTTACGGACGGTGTGGCAGCACCTCCGGCCATCTCACGGGGTCCTGCTGTTCCTTGCAGCGCCATGGGAACAGTGGTGCTGGATGGCCAGATCTACGTATGTGGTGGATACGATGGAAACTCATCCCTCAATTCCGTGGAGTCCTATTCTCCAGAAACAAACAAGTAAGAGCTCTTCGTGCCCTACAGCTTATCCGTCTGTTTGCTGCTAGGGTAGTGCCGTGCCGTGGCACCGCTGGGCGTCTGGGCTGTAAAAGAAACGTGTTGAATGTTGTGGAAAAGCCTTTATATCCTGACAGCGGAGCAGCATCCCTCCTCGCAAGAGTTTACCTGGATGCAAGCGAACAAAACCACGGTTTAAATAAAATCGGTGGTGAAAGGAGATTTACCGGAACCCTCGCTAACCTGTCCCCTCTCCCGGCAAGGTGGACGGTGGTGACCCCCATGAGCTCCAACCGCAGCGCCGCCGGAGTCACCGTCTTCGAGGGCCGGATCTACGTATCGGGAGGGCACGACGGCCTACAGATCTTCAACAGCGTAAGTCTGCGGGGCGCGGGTTCCTGCCAGCCTTGTGGAGAAATTAAATCTGCTGCTGGTAGCCGAAAGGTCAGGCTGGGGCTGGGAAGGCTCCGTGCCCTTTCGCCGTGCACCCAAAGTGCCGTAAGTGTTTGCCCCACCAAATCTCTGTCATTTCCAGGGCTGCCCTTCTTGCTCAGGATGAAATGAGCTAGCCAGGTACCCACTGGGAACTGGGCTGGAAGTGCTGCTCTTATTCCCCCAGCGCCAAAAGGATCGAGTTAGTGCATTTTGTTGTCTCCCTACTTGCTTCACTTTTTAAGTCACCGTATCATTGCGTCCCTTTGAGCTCTGAAGCATCCCAGATGTCGGGCTCTTACCTCTGCTTTCTGTGCCTGTTTGATGGCTTCAGTTTCAGAAACGGATTATCTTTGAAACAAGCTTCACAGCAGGGGGAGTTGGTGGTACGAGGCCGCTCGCCCTCTTCCACCCGCTCTGCCTTTCAGTTCTCCGCCCGTTCTCTAAAGAAAAACCCGATGCGGAACAGAAAAGACTCGTTCGTCCGCTCGGGAGAGAGAACGCAGGGAGCTGTATCCGAGTTGGGTCTGTCACTAATGCACTGCTCTCAGAAATTTGTGGTGAAGGGTCTGTTGGGAGTAGCAATAACCACTCCTGCCTCGCTCGGCAGATCAGGGGCAGGCTGTTGTCTGCAGCCTGAAGTACCCCAGAGCCAAGAACTGCAAATCTCCTTGTCTGAGCACGTTCCTGAGCGTGACAAGTTTGGAGCAGTGCGGGAGTCCCTGCGGAAGGGGTCCATCTAATGGTCTCTCTAGAAACGCAAGGGATACAAAATGGTGGTTGGCTGGGGTTTTTTTCCCCCCCTGAGGTGCCAGATAGCTCTTCTACAAATATACAGGGAGGAGATGTCGGCCTTTTCCGAAAGTGGAAGAGTTTACTGTGCGGAGGAAGGGAAGAAAGCCTACCCTTTGCCAGGGGGTGCAGGACGTAGCCCTGAACCGCCTCGGGCGCGGTGGTTGTCCGACGTGAGAAACTGGAAAGCTTGAAGTGTTACGGCTGAAATCTGCTGCCGGGAGAGAGCGGGGAGACTCGCTTAGGGCCGGGGAAGACTTAGGGGGACGTTAAGGACAGCGTGGACACGCACCTCTCGGGTCTGACAGGGCTTTGGCTGGCTGTGCCCTGGGGCAGCAGCGTGATCTTGTGTGCGTGAGGAAAACTGGCACCTTGAAATCGAGACACAATCCTGTGGCAGTTGAACTTTTAATTGAAGGGTGCTCAATCCTTTTGGTGCTGAGGCTCAGATACCTGTTTAAAACACCACGCAGAAGCTGGTGAAAGGGGAGGGAGGTAGAGGGAGCATCTTCAAAGCTGCATTTGCTGTGGTCTCTGTAGCGTATCGGGTGGGGAGAGTGGTCTCTCCCCATTCACCCGCTCCAGCTCGCCAGTGAGTTACGGGGCTGAGGTCAGAGGGAGCGGGGTGAAACGCGATGGCTGCTGAGATCCAGGATGTCAGAAAAGCTTTAACCACGGTACGAAATATGATTGCGTGAGATCAAGAAACAAAACCCGGGTTCCCCAGCCGGCTTGCCGTTGCGCGTTGAAACGGTCTGTGTGATCTGTGCCGCGCGGTAGGTCCCGAGCGAGGGTCCCCTGACGCTGTCTGCTCTCTGTGACTGCAGGTGGAGTACTACAACCATCACACGGCCACCTGGCACCCGGTCGCCAGCATGCTCAACAAGCGCTGCCGCCACGGAGCAGCCTCGCTAGGCAGCAAGATGTTCGTCTGCGGAGGCTACGACGGCTCGGGCTTCCTCAGCATCGCCGAAGTCTACAGCTCCATGGCGGATCAGTGGTACCTGATCGTCCCTATGAACAGCCGGAGGAGCCGCGTCTCCCTCGTTGCAAACTGTGGCCGTCTGTACGCGGTGGGGGGTTACGACGGACAGTCCAACCTCAGCTCGGTAGAAATGTACGACCCGGAGACAAACCGCTGGACGTTCATGGCCCCGATGGTGTGCCACGAGGGAGGGGTCGGCGTGGGCTGCATACCCCTCCTGACCATCTGAGCAGAAAGCGTTTTGGGGTGGGGAGGGGGGGGTGTCTTTTCAACGACAATCTGGGGAGAGGTTCGAAGAGCGTTTCATGATGTGGTATCCACAGAGGTGCGCTTCCAGGTGCTCAAGTGTCATACACACACACACACACACACACACACACACAACTTGACAAAACAATCCCCACCCTTGGCTTTTTGGGCTGAGGCTCCCGAAAGATCAAAGGTGTTGAAATAGGGTGGGTCTATGCGCTGGTGCGAGCGAGGACCTGCCTGCCTCCCTCCGCCGCCCGTTAGCCTGTGCTCGGAGCTGTGGCTAAGCGAGTCCTTCCTCTCGCCGTCGGTTTTCCAAACGGCCCTGCGGTCTGCTTTCGGCGGCACCTTCGGGAAGTGCCGTTGTGG